CAACTGAGATAATCCATCCACAATACGAGGTTAGTCATTAATATACTGCAAGAACACGAGAATAGAGCAGCTGCGACAGAATTCAGTATTAATGATTCAATGGTACGGAAGTGGAGGAAGCAAGAAGAATGAGTTGAGTAAAGTTTGACTTATCTGACTGCTTTGTTTGCTTAATGCACCTTATAATCCGGTGCGCTTTATGGTCCGAAAAATACAATACTTGAGTAAAGAAGCAGTTCTTCAACTTTTGCAGGAAGATCTGTACTTATACTTAAGTTACCAGTGTGTGTACTTTATCCACCTATGGTTGTAACATTGTAACACAACAGTAACACATTTAAAATGTCCTTATTGATGATGTCAATTTATTTTTACTGTACTCCATTTGACCTTTTGTGTACATAAATAGGTCAAAACACAACAACAATTAGCGAGCGGAAAAATTAAATAATGAGTGTGACATAAATAAAACAAAATAAAAAGTTATGGTAAAGCTTAATAAAGTTAACATAACAATAACAGTATTAAGTACATATGCTGCTGTTAACTTTTTAACAATAAAATTAAATATCCAAAAATATATTGACACAGTTACTCTTTTTTCTTTTTTTTACTGTGCCTTATTTAGCATTCAAAATCTTCTCTAGTATTTGGTGCAGGGCAAGAAGTAGCTGTTCCTCAGCACACGGTACAGCCTCCCGCTCCACATGGCATACTCAAACATTTGTGGTCCACTGTAGAGGTAGGTGTACCCTGCAGAACAGAGATGCTACATGTTAGTGCTGCATAACAGACCAGAGGGGTTTTTAAACATGTTAAAATAGCAATCATTCATTACATGTAAACTCAAAAGATAAAAACAGAAATATCAAAAACAGAAATCATTGTCTCGTTTCAGTGGTCTTCAAGCCTGAATTGCTGCTCACCTCCTTGCTGCAGAGCTGCAGTCACTTTGGAGGTCATTCCCAAGAAGGTCTCATCCACCTGTTTGGGGAATCCCTTATCCATCTTCTTTGTGGCCTCATTATAACTGGGAAAAGAAAAATGTATTTAGATTCATCTAACATTTGTAATACAACTTGTAAGCTGCTGTATGAAAATCAGTTGCCTAATTTTCTCAGGTCTTAGTGGAACACACCTGTAGTATTCACTGCCTACAAAGAACAGAGTCTTCCCACTTTGTTCGTCATAGAGGGCCGCATCAACTTTCTTCACTGTTTTGGGCAGCCCAAAGCTGGATATTGGTTTAGGATAGCCACTTACAAGATCATAGCCGCTGAAAGCCCACACCTTCTGATCTGTGAACAAATAAGAAGTAGACTTTATAGTAAAGCTATGTAAAGGCACAAAAATGCTGACTTCAAAGGAGTGCTGCATTAGGTGGACACTGAGAAAGCATACCTTTAAAAAGTAAGACACGGTCTGATTGTTGGCTCTCATAAGCAGCATCAATGTCAACAGGGGCATCGGGCCAGAAATTTGTGATGAGAGTTTGCTGAGGTGTGTTGCTCTGAGGGTGGTTGCGCCAGAAGAATCTGTGAAGACACACAGAAAATGTACATTAATGTAAATGATCAGTCAGCAAATCTCAGTAGCTCAGGTATTCATGCATTTATTTTGTGATACCTGTCCTTGAAGAAGAGCATCTCTCTTCGCAGTGTGGCAACAGCATCCAAAACCATCGTTGAATCACAGGCATCAGGAGTAGTGGGCGCTGTAGGTCCAGGTACAATGATATCCTCATTTGGACCTGGAGGTAATTTAATAAATATCACACTGTTGTAAGTTGTAAAATTATTTATGCACAGGTTCTTCTAAGATTTTGGTCAACTCAAATATTTTTAATTGAATAAAACCAAAAAAAGAA